CGCAACAGCAAATATTTAATTTTGCTTTTCACCTACTTGTAACAATTCATGAGAAATTTGTTATCCGAAAACTCAGTAATAATATCCTGACCACCACTGTAATTCAGCTTTTCAACAAAAAAACTGCATTGTAGTGAAATGCATATTAGATGTTAAGGTAGACAATTTAATTTATTTAAGCTCAAATACGCTTTACGAAGGTCGTATTGAACAGATGTAAGCTCTCAAAATTGGAAACTCTGATAATTCTTGCGAATATTTCTTAAAAACGAGTTTGTTCATGTTTTTATTTTTATAAAGCTATATATACGAAGTATAAAAATATTACGAGTGCGCCGAACTCAATTTGCATATTAAGCTGAGTGCAAGCCATTAGTTAGCATTAGCATGAATACATCTTATACTCAAAAGAAGTTACTTATATATATACATATGTATATAAATATGTACATGTGTATATGTTGCATATACTTATATGTAAATATGTATGGATATAAAGTAATGTTTATATGCAATAGGAATGTCCATGTGCTCGCCGGCTTAACCGTTCGTCCGTGTGTTCCCGCTAGTCGGTGCAGTCGCCGACATGGAATTTGAAAGAAACAAGTTTTTCCTCCTCATTCGCAAATAGTTTGCAGTATTTGGATCGTTGACTGGACATTCGAGTTCATCAAATGATCAAATGTTGATCAGCGCACAAGGAGTATAGTACGCTGTAGTGTTAATACGGCATTTGGTAAGCATGATACATTTGATAATTGTGAAAGTGAATGTTTATGTACAGAAATTATGAAATAAAATAGTGTACAATTAAACCAGTAGATAAAAAATAATTATTACCAATAAAAAAAAAGAATACAGTTCTAAGTTTTAAATATGCTGATTATAATTTAATTTTATTAAAAGTTTTGTGATAGAACTAATGAAATTGTGAAGGGAAAATGTATTTGAGCGCCAGCTATCGGAAAATAGCTAGCCAATATTTAAAGTATATGCAGAGAACGTATATTTAAATAATAAATTAATATTGTTTATACATTTTTATGTAATTTTCAATTTCAACAATTATGAATGTTCCTCTTTCATAAAATTTTAGTTAATTTTGTCAGTTAAACAAACTTTGCCCTTTTAAACACTGAAATTGGGGAAAAGAAACAGCCGTCAAAGAAACGCCTGAAAATGAAAAGTACTGCCATTCTCAAATTGCACGTCAACGCATCTGCATCATCCAACAAGGAAAAGCCACCTCCATTGGAAGAGTTTTACAAGCAATTGCCAGAGGACCAAGGATTTGTAACTCCCGAGAAGTATCCGGAAAACTCTGTAGAATCATCCACTAAGCCAGAGTTAGGAGGTAAACTCATTTTTACTACTTCTAGATATAGGTTAATATGTGGAAATGGTAAAAGTCTTCTAAAAAATGGGTGAAGGGAATGCTGATGCAATAACCTTGAAGATTTCACTAAATATATATTAAGTATACATACACGCACGAAAAATTCCCGAGTTGGATACCAGGAAATTGACTGACTGATTGAGTAAAGGGGGTAGTACCTTTATTATATGTATGTATATATGTTTTAAGCTTAAACTGGATGAGTAAGTGGATTCAGATAAATCAAGAGAAAGTAATTTGCACATGAGGCTTAACCTCAATTGATAAGTGTAAAATTATTTTTTGTTTGTGGAGCTAGATGTGAAAAGCTTAGCTATGCAAATATATTGAAACTTATGTATGTATGCCAGTTAAATTCTTTACAAATATATAATTATACATTTGTGTGATTTATTGTTAAATGGCAAAACTTACAAGCATTCATGTGTAAACAACGATCAAACATAACTCTAGTCATTATTAATAAGTATAAAGATATCGTGACCACACCCGATTATTACGGCTAACATATATATCACACTTATTTAGATGTACTCCAATTACTTAATTGACACGTACCAATGTACAAAGAAATTGGATACATGCTTGTATGTAAATACGTACCATGTGTGAAGTAATTTTAAATTTAATAACAAAAGCACGGTTGAGTCTCATAAATTATTTTAGAAAAATTTAGTTCCAAGTAACCAGCAAGTTATTACACAGCTACTTTTCAAGCGATCGTAATATTGTGCGAAATCTAAGGCGTTCACCGTTAAATTCATGTCGTAAGCTTAATTTTAAAAATTTTTCATAAAAAAAGTGGTTTTGGATTATGGGTTTTGTTTATCATTGCTTGGAGGTTTTTAATTATAATTTATTTTTGCTATTTGTATACTTATTCATCAAACATTCTATATCAGGTGAATGATTTTAAAAATCATATTTTTCAGTGAAAACCTTAAGTAGATTTTTGTGATGAAATTTTCCAAAAATAACAAAGGTATTTGGAAATCATCTGTTACTAACAATAGAACGCATCTTATCTGTGAAAACTTTATTTTCGTTAAATATTTGAAAATTACACATTTTCCCATTTCTTATCGTTAGCAGAAACCAATCCTAATCCCGAGCAAACAAAAGTAGATAGTGCTGCTGCTACAAACAAAGAAAACGGAACAATGGTGGCGGAACAAAACGGTTTGAATGATGGCGCCGACGAACAAATGTTGAGTGGTGCTGAAGACAACGAAAAATTGGCCGATAAGCGCGAAGAAGTAAAGTTTATCAAAGGAGGTGACCACCAAAATGGTGATGCGAAAATTGACATTGGTGCTGTTAATGGAAAGGTATTGTAAAATAAATCATACACATATTTTTTGAGATTAACGAAACTTTAATAATTCTATCATACAAAACTATTTGCGTACAATTATTTAATTGCTACGCAGGATAAAGAATTGGTAAGCTCTATAACATGCTTTCACATTCTTTGTGCCCACAAATTAGCCAATACCAAATTTAAGTATATTTTTGATTAATTTCAGGCTTTCACCGGCATGTCTAAAGAAGAACTGATGAAATACGCCAATGATCCATTTTGGGTACGTTTACGTTGGATTTTCTTCTTAGGTTTTTGGGCCATTTGGGCCGGCATGTTGATCTGTGCCATATTTATAATTGTTGAGGCGCCAAAGTGTGCCGCACCTGAACCACTACCATGGTACAAACGTGGCCTTCTCGCGAAATTCAATGCACTCGAAGCAGTAGCTAGCGATATCGACACGGCAAACGTCGTTGGAGCTTCCGCTGTCATATATGAGTTGCCACCTGCACTAACTTATTCGGTACATGATCCTGCTGTTGAACAAAAAATTAAGGCTATTGTTGATAGTTATAAAAATGCGGATATCAATGTTATATTGGATCTAACCCCAAATTATGTACCAAGTAATTCTACTTTGTTTACTGAAGCCAAAAGTGACAAATCAAAGCGTTCAGCTTTCATATGGAAAGAGGGTGCGCAAAATATCAGCAATTGGCGTTCACTTCAAAATACGTCAGCTTGGGATGAAGTTGAAGCGGGCAACTATGTACTCTCCCAATTCGGTGCCGGTCTATATGATTTGAAAATGAATGACGTCAACGTTAAGAATCAATTCGAAGATGTTTTAAAACATTTGTTGTCTTTGGGCATTAAAGGATTCCGTTTAAAGAAGTCGAAATTCTTTTTACTCTCTGACAAGACACCTGATGAGGTTGTTTCTTCGGATGGCAATTTCGGGCATACTGACTATGGATTTTGGACACATACTCATAGCACTTTCCAAGAAGGTCTGGGCGATTTGTTGTATGAGTACAAAATGTTCGTAAAGAACATTTCTGCAGATGCTTTCTTATCAGTGGCAGATGATATTTTACGTCCAGAAGTTTATCATACTAAGAATGGCGAATGGGGTGTGGATTTACCGATATATGGTCCACTTGTGCACACTTTGAATACAGGTTCAAATGTTGCAAAACTTCGAAGTGAATTCGAAGATATTAGAAATGCTGTAGGCAATGACACATGGTTACAGTGGAATTTTGCTGAACAATCACCAGCTGCTAATCTGAGAAGCGATCCTTCGGCAATCGCATTATTTGTGTCGTTATTGCCAGGAGTACCAGTTGTGGCAATGACCAACACATCACTTTTCACAGACTTGAATCCAGAAGTTTTTGCTGAAATAAAGCAATTGCGATTGTCGCCATCGTACATGCATGGGGAATATAATGTTTTCCCATCAGAAGGCCTCTTTGCTTATTCCAGGTAATTTATATATATTATAAAAAATACTTGAAGTAACTTACTAAACTTATATGTAATATTCGATTTATTTACTAACATGCACACTTTATAGGCAAAGGTGAGCAAATTATGAAACTAAAAATTTTTTAATTCAAAATTGTATCTAACCAAATGGAATGTAATGAATGAAAAAGTATTCTTTTAACTCAAACTTTTCCTTTATTTTATAGAATAAAATCTGGTAATCCTGGTTACTTCGTAGCTTTCAATCCATCAAATACTACTGTAAAGGGCGAATTTGTCTACCCGTCATTGCCGGACAAAATGACGGTGTATGCCCTTAGTGAGAACTATAATATTTCGGGCATTATAGTGAAGTAAGCATTCACCCTGGTTTTGTTAAACTAATCAATCTAATATTGTCTTATTTTTTTTCAGATCTAAAGTTGAAACAAACTCTGTAGAGGTGCCTCCTGAAGCTACCATAATACTCACTTACGTACCTGTTACGTCAGGCTAAATTTATAATGGATGCAAAATCCTTGTATTCACACATTGAAATGAATGTGACAATATTTTAAAAAATATAAAATTATATGTGTATTAATATTGCTGAAAGTTAATCACGTTATGCATAAAGTAAAAAGTTATTGCTTTACATAAATGTAAAGTTATTTCAAATTTGGAAAACAATATAAATATTAAAGGCATTGCAAAAAGCATTCCGTTGTTGTTTTATTGCATAGAAACTTTTATTATTTCATAACATGTAAAAAATCTAATATACACTAAAGTGGTCGGACTGAGCTTGGATGTAAAAAGATATGGTATTCATTGCTGAATTCAAATATGCAACTTTATTTTACTACTTTTGTACAGATTATCGTTTTTTTACTCTTTCATACTCGATATATACATAAATGTGAGATACACAATATAGAAATTATACAAAAAAAAATTTTATGACGCTCTAATTAATGTTTCTTTATTTGGTTTATAATTTCAACTACTTCCTTTTAACAAAACTTCGTCAATTTTATCTTTTTGTTCCTGAATAGCATTCTTAAGCAACTGAGCTTCAGTTTCCAGCTCTATTTTTGCAGATTCTAACTTAAGTTGATAATTCCGAATTTCACGATTAAGCGTTACCAAGTCTTTGTGATCAGCGACAGCTTTTTCGAAGCGATTCCACCAATCCTGGTGCTGCGCATCATTACTGGGCGATTGTCCTTTTAAAGTCTCGGCACTCAAATCTACATGAAAGGTTTCCATATCTTTCAAAATTTGTTCAACTGTTGGCGGAGAAGGTTGAGGTGGAAATTTCGAATTTTTAGATTTCTTTAACATTTTTTTAAACGTAAACAAAAGTTTAGTTTCGTATTTCAATCAAAGATTTTTGGATAGCTATAATGACAGTTGTCAGCTGTGTGCACATTTATCGATGTATACTCTTTATCGTTATTTTGAAATAGAATTTAATTATTTAACGTTAATATATTCAAATTTAATGCAAATAAGACTTTTTAATCGTAAACTTGAAACTCTTTGGGGATAGTTATAATAATGTTATTTTTTAACTGTTATATTTAATAATATAAAAATAAATAAAATTATTTACTTGTTACATTTTTTGTATGGCAACTCTCATTATTCATCATCGGTCGAAATATCGTTTGACATTTGATAATTGTGCCCAGAGAACGTATAAATGTACGTTCTCTGTTGTGCCTTATTGGCTGATATAGTTGTTAAAAAGATATTGGAAATCTATTGCAGCATATTCAGAAGGCGCTTTAAGGGTATTTACATTTCATTATGACGTTGGGAAACATAAAAATGTTAACTATCAGCAACTACATGAATCAGTAAGGTTAAATCTTGCAGCGCCTTAATATAATAACAAGGAGGTAAAAAGTGGACAAAGTCACTAACGAAATTAATTAACGCGCCGAGCAGAATTACAATTTATCGACATTAATTATTAAATTGCAGAGTTGCTGTGATAACGTATTATATGTTAGTAGGTAAGCGCAATATAAAATTAGTTGTTTATTTCTATTTAAAAATCTTTTCCAAAATTAGTGTATTAAGGATTCCGTGGAAATGTCACCGCCAAAAAGCTGTGCTGTTTGTGGTGACAAGGCATTAGGATACAATTTTAATGCTGTTACGTGTGAAAGTTGTAAGGCTTTCTTTCGCAGAAATGCCTTGGCAAAGAAACAGTTTACCTGTCCCTTTAGTCAAAATTGTGAGATTACTGTGGTTACTCGACGATTTTGTCAGAGATGTCGTCTGAAAAAGTGCTTAGACATTGGTATGAAAAGTGAAAATATCATGTCTGAGGAAGACAAGCTTATAAAAAGACGTAAAATAGAAAACAACCGCGCTAAACGCCGACTCAATGATAATAAAGCTGGATCTATAGCGGACAGTACTGCTTTTGATATGGTTTCGCACGATTCGCAAAGTTCTTTTGACAGTGGCAAAGGCACAGGCAGTAATAATAGTGCATCAGCGGCATTGGGTAATCAGTCATCACCGTTGAGTTCTAATGTGCCAATACGGTCTCCAATACGATCGCCAATGTTAGCAGAATCAGACGGTGAGGCAAAGCCTGAGCTAATGACCAGTGAAGAAATAGTTGAATTTATTGTTGGTGATCCCGATCGAGCATCGCAGATGATAAGCAAATTAATGCGTACAAAAGACGAAGCGCTTGCCATTGTGGAGAAAATTCTCACTTCTCAGAAAGACGCATTGCGGCTCGTTTCACATTTGATTGCATTCCCCGGTAAGATATCATGATATTTACTAATTATTTTTCTATTTGAATAATGACTTATTTCTTCTTTATATTAGGTGACGCATTAAAAATCATTAGTAAAATTATGAATTCACCATTTGATGCACTAACGGTGTTTACGAAATTTATGAGTTCGCCTACCGATGCATTAGAAATTATTTCAAAGATTGTTAGTTCACCACAAGATGTTGTGCAATTCATACGGAATCTTATGGAGTGCCCAGAAGATGCGCTCGATATAATGAATAAATTTATGAATACACCTGCTGAAGCTTTGCGCATAATCAATAAAATATTCAATACGTTGAATCCACCAACACGCAGCGATGAATTGCATAAATTACTGTTGGATGCAACAAAGGAAAATAAGGATAAATCATTCCAAACAACACCAGAAGCGTCTACAGAACCAGAAAGCAGTGAAAACGGAAATTATTTGCTGCATTCAATGCTCAATAATAGTCCAATTATGACGCAAGATTTTGTAAATGGTGTGTCCCCGAGTAATCAACACTCAGTGTCGGTTACTAACTCTGATTTAATGGATGAATCGCCCATAAATATACAAGGCATGTCAATAAGAACAGACACACCGGATCACACAATAGCACCCATTCAATCGCAGACCTTACAGCTGGGGTCTTCAGCCGAGCTACCTTCAGTGACAGCTTGCTTGGAAAACTCAGCTCAAGGTATTTCAATTACGCCCACAGATTGCTCTATTGAGAATCACGCTTTACATTGCAACTCACCAACAAGCATACAATCCAACATTGAACTGCCAAGTACCTCAGCTGGACTTTTAAACCCAAATTCGCCTACAGACTTAACGTCGGATGCGACATACTTTAATAGTGAGCACTTCGATATAAAAACGTTCATACAAAATTCATTTCCTGACAATGCAAGTGTGGGTGATAGCTTAAATTCATTGGAGTCTGTGCTTTCCGAGGTGATAAGAATAGAGTTTCAGGCGTTTAACAATTTACCGCCAGAACCTCGTGTAAAACAAGAACAATTTCAATATCAAACACATAATATGACAGTGCAAAACCCTGTACAACAACAACAATGTGGTTATAATGGTGGCAATACACAGTTACAACAGCCAATTATTGGCCCGCCAATGAATGCAATAATGAGTCGGGATCTCAATGAAGCTGAGCACACGAAATTGCGGGAGTTGAAAATGGCCAGCGAAGCACTATATTATCCAATGGACAACGATCTATCTTTACTTATGATGGGTGACGATAGAGTTAAAGTGAGTAAAACATAAAAGAAATCTATTTATGTAATTTGTTTTTGTTTTTATTTATTTTTTTTCTTGCTTAAGTACGCATATCTTATCAGTTAAAATGTGCCCAAAAAAACGCACGAAATTGAACACCTGTTATACTAAACTCACACTAGACCAAAATTCATTGTGCGAATTCTGCTTAATGTTGTATGAGTCAAATGTTTTGTTTGTTATAGCGTGTGTATAGCGAATATTGTCCATTGATGTGTATAAGAGTCCATGTGAAGCCCTTGTACAAAAAAAAAAAACGTTGTGTGTTTATCCACCACTCTTCTTTATACATTTAGGGGTTTATTTGTCTGCGATAATGAGTAAGTCAAATTTTGTACATACATATGTAAGCATTTCCGATTCTGTAATTAGCTATTGCTAGCACTAAATTATAAATGCTCCATAAATATTCGAACGTGGTTTATTGTATCAATTACTATTATCAATACTTATCAGAAAAAATTGCTAGGCGTGCAGAAAAATATAAAATCCGACATAATATCCCACAATGCATGTTTGTTTCCCCCGTTAAATATGTATTGTAATATTGATTGGGGAAATGCGTCAGTTTTGATTAATATAAATACCATGGCATTTTTTATTAGCATAAAATAATGATTTTCCCTTAATAAGTATTACTAATATTAAAATGGAATATTGCCCACGGTGCATTAGTACAAACAAACTTTTAGGGCAAAACAATAATATATATTTTGTTGATTTAAAAGCGTTTGATAAGAAATCTTGCCTTATTTACATACTAATGACTATTTGTGGGCAAATTTTTGAACCATTGTATGACTAATAATAATATAAATGTATTGAAATTATAGCCAGAGGAAACGCATCAGGATCCGAAACTTTTACAGGTGATTAATTTAACGGCAGTCGCCATAAAACGCCTAATAAAAATGGCTAAAAAGATAAGTGTGTTCCGCGATATGTGTCAGGAGGATCAAGTGGCATTACTAAAGGGTGGCTGCACCGAAATGATGATCATGCGTTCCGTTCTAACATATGACAACAACCGCAATACATGGAAGGTAAGCATTGTTATACATACATCACTGATTAACACATTAAAATGAAAAAATAGCAATTTCATAATTTTATATTATAAATTTTATTATATATATATTATAACATAGTTTTTATCATTGCATACATTCAGTTGCCACACGTTTCTAATATGGCGCATGTACGCGCGGAGATTTTGAAGCAGGCAAAGGGCAATATTTACGAGGAAATTTTGAAATTTGTGGGTACATTCGATGAGAAGTGGCGCATGGATGAAAATATAATTTTGATCATGTGCGCAATTGTACTTTTTACACCGACGCGTGCGCGGGTAATACATGCTGATGTCATTCGCTTGGAGCAGGTGCGTACACATACACACAAAATACAAAAGATTGCTAAATTAATGTATATATTATTAAATCTCCTCTAGAACTCTTATTATTATCTTCTGCGAAGATATCTGGAGAGCGTCTATCCTGGCTGCGAGGCAAAGTCAGCTTTTATTAAGTTAATACAGAAAATTTCGGATGTTGAACGTCTGAATCAATTTGTGATTGGTGTTTATTTAAATGTGAATCCCTCACAAGTAGAACCGCTATTAAGGGAAATATTTGATTTAAAAAATCATTAGATGATTATTAGTGCCGCGCTAACTAAACGCTTGCTTACACTATATATATATATATAGAATATATATAGATAAATAATGTTGGAACTACTATATATACTCATATAGTAGCATTGCTTTGTAATTATTTGTTGTGTTTTTGTTTTATTTTATGCGCCAGTAATATATTTAGGAGCAAAGTAGATAGTTTTTATTTCTGCAGGGCATTATTGACCACTGCACATTTAGAAGCTCAGCTATTTTAAAATAAATAAGGAAACGGTGGAACATTTTTATAATAATATGAATTGTTGAATGTAACGCGAAAACAACTATATTAATACACTGCATTGTATAACACATAGAAATGTCTCGTCAACTCGGGTGCATGTGATAAATGTACAACACTAACTAGTTATTACAAACTTAAAGTTATGCTATTTTTAATATTATACACAGATTAATCGGAATGTTGAATCCAAATGCGTATATACTATATAGACACAAACAATTTTAAATTGAGCAACTATAACACATCACCTATTCACTGTTAGATGCAACACAAGTTGGTGGTTTAAAATGTGCAATTTATATATAGATTCAATCTAAAACATGTTTTAATAAAAAAAAGAGTCTATTTTGTGTAACAATGGAATATTTGTGTCTTTATTTCTATCGAATGCTTGTGAACTATCGATAATGAATATTTATGTAGTACTTTACGCATTAAGACTATAATTAAAGTATTTCTTATTTCTCTATGTAAAATATCTTCAAATCCAATTACGCCCCACACTACCAGAACGGCGTTTGTTGGCCTTGTCAGTAGTTCCGCTACTGCTACCGTCTTTACGACCGCCTGTATCTGGCGAACCACCCGATCCAATATTACGTATTAACAAACGCAATCCACGTGCCTGTGCGTCACTCGCTTGCGCCACATTATTTACTTCGGACGAGATTACCGAAAAATCGTCCACTACATGCCCGGGTGGACTAACATCAAATGGCAAAATATCGCTAAGACTTTGCTGCGGTCTATATGATGTACGACGACGCGCGCCACCAGAATCACTACCCGCAGTATTAAGATTTTGTGTACTACTTGATGTCGACAACTGTTGTTGCACTTGTTGTAATCGAGTTTTCAGCAAAGCATTCTCTTCTTGAAGACGTCTTATGTGGGCGGCCTCATACTCAGCACGCACGAATGTTGGTTGTGGTAGACATTGATATATTGTTGTAAGAAAGTTACGCAAGGATAACTGTAATGTATCTTGCCATTGTTTCGAAAAGTACAAAGCAAAAGTCGGTGATTCCTCAGCGTTTTTACAAAATGGGAAGTCTGAAACAAATTTTTCATTTAGATTATTTTGTGCTAAATTTATTGGTTATAGTTTTCATACAAAACCAATCCTTCCACTCGCTTTGCTGTTGCAGTTCTGCTGCGAGTTTTGAAAAAAATTCAGTAACTTTGTCCATACGATTGTTTGAATAAGCAGTCACCAGGTAAAGCTTCAACAGACTATTTTCCAATTTTTTCACAGCTAATGGTAAGTACTTTAAATGGGAGCCAGTGAAAGTCGAATCAAAACTTACCTGTGGCATAAGTGTGCTCCAGTTTGCTAAAGAGATTACTATCTAAGTGAGTCCAAAGTGAACGTAATGCAGTCAAATCATGGTTTTGTATACACTGATTAAAACCCTCCAACAACTTTTCAGAACGGAAACTTTGATCTTTTTCAGTTCTTTGCTCTTGGTCAAGTGCTTTTAATGTGGAGGAAAAACCACGAAATATCAAATACTCCTTCAAAAGATTGTCGATAAATGTTATTTGTGCCATGTTTCCAAAATTTTCACAATCTCTTTAATTTGTTTGGAAAATGGAGAAAGATAAGATGATGTAAACAGCTGTATAAATGCTATTAAAATAAAATGAAAAACTTCAAAACAATACCAGAGTTGCTATTATATGGCTGGGCAGGAGAATTTAATTTTATGTTTAATAGTCAACATATAAAAGTTTTTTAACGTTTACATATATGCATAGTAAAACATCAAAAACATATTAAATTACTTGTAAACAAGCAATGAAAGCAGAATGATTCATTTAAATTGATAAAGAGACAGTGAATGTCCATTGAATTTTCGGTTATCGATAGTGTTGTGAATAGGGAAGTTTTGTAATGACATCGCCATCGTAATCATTTGACATTTTATTATGTGTGCATATACCTTTTGCCAATTGCAAATTTTGTATGAACGCGTGGAATTGTTGCGAGAAAAATTCGATTTTTCGTATCTTTATTGCGCGCAAATTAAACCTAAATAAATGCAGTGGTTGGTGGAAAGTTTGAAATTAAAATATGAATCAAAAGGGAGCGCGAGAACAAAATGATATATCGATAATAAGGAATCTGCCAAAGCGACTGCAACAGAGAATCGTTGAAGATGTTAGCGATAACTCATTGGTAACAGTTGATGAAACAACAAGGCAAAGTTCCAGCGGTCAACCTTCGACGTCCAAGGGAGGCACAAAAAAAGATGATAACGATAAGATGTCTAGGCGTTTTCTGCAAAAGCAGACTAGGCCAAATAATGCCATCCAGCAAGGTGAGCTTAGCATTCAAAATAGGCATACTGAAATTATTTTATATAAATTTTAACGATACAATTGTTTTTCTGTCAAGGAAACGGCGCCATAGACGCTACGAGCATTAATTTTTTCTTGCAAAAAAGCCCGTCCTGTACCAGGACACTAAACAAAAACAATTTCAAAAGAGAAACTGTGCCCGTTTTGGAATCCAGCGGGAAAGAAGTTGCTAGCAAAGCAACTCATATCAAAGATGTCACTCCATCTACAAACTCAAATGTTGGCAACAGTTCAATACCAGGAATACTGCGTTTCAATGATGCCAAACATATAAAGCTTATTGCTGCAGAAAAAAATATAAACGGTAGTGAAAAAAATGTTGGCCGAGAAAACGGTAGGAGAACAACAACGCGTATTCATCAAATCAGTGAACAGTTCACGAAAGCCGATAACATTTTAACAAAATCACCCGCACGTCAGTTGCAACGACAACTGAATCAACCAGCTTGGTTCGAAATGCTTATTGGCGCACAATATGTTGAACATTTACCAAAACTTTACGAAAAGTTTACATCGATATTGCAGCAAAATATGGTCATTGAGGTAAATTGATTGCATAATGCAAGCTATGTTAAATTAAAACATCTATTTTTTATTGAATTTTTATATATTTT